CTTCACAGACGCCATCCAGCTATTCATACACGCACTCCCTACTCCTTTCTGGCCATGTGTGTGTCCATGGCTGCCTACGAGCACAAATGCGTGATTCTACGGTGTGTCCATCTCTACGTGTGTACGTGTGTGTATGTGAAGGTCTGCCTGTCTGTCTGTCTCTCTGCAGTCACGTAGACATACTGAGAGAGGGACAGCTGGACGGTCGGTCAGCCGCACCGACACTTGGGCCACCTGCCCCCCACTCACCCACCCACTCACACAGCCAGCCAGAGGGAGAGAGGAAGCACACAAGGGAACACACACCACATGTCTCACACGCCATGCACTCTTTACTGACCATGTGTCCATCCCTGTACAAAACAGTGGATCATGTGCAGGCATGGCCACATGTGTGTGTGACGTGTTCCCATATCTGTCTGTCTGGCTGCCTGCCTGCCTGCCTGTCTGGCTGTCTGCGTCAGTCAGGTTGAAATGCTGAGAGAGAGACAGCTGGACGGTCGGTCACCCACCTGCCCCTCACTCACACAGTCCGACAGCCAGCCAGCCAGCCAGCCAGCCACACAGACCAAGCAAGAAGGGCGGAATGACTTCACTAAACGATTCTCGGCTACTGACTGTAAGGCAGATACGTTTGAGTATGTGGTGCATGTATACGCGTGTACACTTTCCTTCCATACGCTGGGTAAACAGGCAGTCAGACAGACAGTCAGACAGGCAGGCAGACAGACAGGTAGGCAGACAGACAGTCAGGTAAATGATACAACATGTCTGACTTGGTCACATGCAACGGGCAGCCAGGCAGACAAGGAAGCACCAATCAGTCCACAGACGCCCACTCACGGCATTCAGCATACACACGTATGTATGTATTTGTGTGTGTGTGTATGCAGGTGTGCAACAACAACAAAGTGTCAATCAATCGTCACAAGACCCAGGCATCCATCCATTCGATCGGTCACTCACCCAAGCCACACGCGTAACCAGCCAGCCCACGAAGAAAAACGCCTCGAGAGGAAGCGACCGGCCAGACAGCCTTTCCCCAACACTGCCCTTCATATGATATGGCACACCACTCATTCACTCACTAGATGGCACACCAATCATCCAGTCACTCACTTCACTCGCTCACTGGGCAGACAGCTGACATTTGAATGGAAGGGCGCCCAAGCAGCGAGTGAATCGGCAAGTTGATAACCGAGTGAGTGGGCCATCCACTCATCAAGGTCCGCCCGACCTGAGTATCGCTGGACCTCCGCCTCCTGTCCCGCCGCCTCCTCCCCCACCTTCACCTCCCCCTGCTGCCCCACCTTCCTCCTCCTCCTCTTCCTCCTCCTCCTCCTCCTCTTCTTCTTCTTCTTCTTCCTCCTCCTCCCCCTCTTCCTCCTCTTCCTCCTCTTCGTCCCGCAATCCCCTCCCTCGCAGGCGTCGCTGCTTGATTGATGGCTTGGGCTGTGCGAGGACAGGCAGCGTGTTGCCGACCTGAGCCTCGTAGTCCTCTGACAACTCGCTGAGGACCTCTTTCTGCTCGTCAGACATGGCATCGAGGCTTGTGCTGACAGACACCAGCCATGCAGAGACACACACGTCTCATCGACACTGCACAGTCCCTGCCTGCTGCCGTCCTCACCCGTCTGTCGGTTTGTTCTCCGGCGCATCCTCTGCCTCATCGTCGAGGGCTAAGGGGTCGAGGGCATCTTGATGCACCTCAGCCACAGACTCACCAGGCAGATCACCGCCCTCACACACAACTGCACTCACACACGCGACACGGTCAGCGTGAAGTGAGCACCTGCCGTCTCCGTGTTGTCTGGGCCCTGCAGCTCACCTGTGTTGATGCTGAGCAGGCAAACCAGAGCCACGAGGCCAAGCATCACCCAGTGGCGCACCATCTGCGATAGGAGGACGGCGTTGAGTGACCGGAGGAAGGCAGATCCCGGGAAGGGAGACGGGGATTCAACGTCTCCTTCAAACCCTGAACCCGAACCCTCAGTTCATGGAGCATTTGTATTGGATGGCGTGTGGTATCAACGTTTCCACAGATGCTTTGTCTCATTACACGCTGCACACACAGATGTGCGTCTCCTGTCTGCATGGGCGTACACGCGTGTGTGGGTGTCTGTCTTGGTCTCATCCTGGGATCTCCCATCCCTCCCTCCCCTCCCCTTAGCGTACGTCCCTCATCCCTCATCCGCCCTCTAATTGTCGCACACACTTGACGCACTCGCCTCTCTCACTCTCGCGTGGATCGCTCTCTGTCTTTCTGCCTGTTTGTGTGCAGATGAAGGGCACACACACAGACACAGACACAGACACTGACGCAAAGGCAGAGGCAAACGTAATAGCTACCCACAGACGGACGGATGCCCCTCTTCCCTCTTATCTACGTCACTCAAATGGCCAGCCAGCGGCAGCTTGGCTGAAACACAGCTCTACCTCTATGCTCACTGGCAGCACAACACATCACAACACACGGCACGCACATGTGACAAAGTTCTCCTGGCAAATATCTGCCTGGGCGGCATCATCGGGCCAGGGAGGGGCAGGGAAAGGGGGGAGGGGGTGGGGTGGGATGGGTGAGGGGGGCGGTCCATCACGTCATATGTATCGGCAAAAACCGAGCGACACGACACGACACGACACAAGAAAAGAACTGATTGATGGATGAATGGATAGATGGATAGCAGGTTCGTGATGTTGACAGGTTAACAGGTTAAGGGGCAAACAGCCCTCCCACACGACACGCACACGCACACACACACACACAAACATGCCGAGGAAAAGACGATATCAGCAGCCAGGCACACCACAGGACGAAAGCAACGCATTTCACCGATTGAAACGATCCGCATAGCCAGAGACAGGCTCGTGCGAGATCCGACAGATGGATGGATGGATGGATGGCATGGGAAAACTCCCTCCCCGAGACGCCCGTCTGCCTAAACGACTAGAGCGGCTCAAGGGGAGGGGAACAGCTATGCGGGTCCGCATGGCAAACATGGCCCCAGATGATGTGCCTGTGGCGGGTGTGGATGGAGGTGCGGACCCACCCACCCACTCACGTACGGATGCAAAAGCCCACATGCACAAATCACGCACCACAATACGGCACAAAGAGGGAGAGGAGAGCTGCCTTTCCTTCAGATGCGGGCGGCGTGCACGGATGAAGTAATGAGTGGATTAGCCGACAAAATGAGAGATAGAGGTACGGAGGGAGGAATAGACGACACGCACGCGTAAGCACGTCGCGTAGAAACGGGGAAAGCTGCGCTTCCGGCTGTGCAATGGCCGTGGTGTGGTGTGGTGTGGTGTGGACGGACTATTACCCTATCGACTATATGTAATGTACGCTGGTTGGTCAGATGATCGTCACCCGATGCAGGCAGACACACGACACCGCTATGCCCGCCCACATACATCGGAAAATACGCACAATACACACACACGTACACAGAGAGAGGCACGCAGACAGACAGGCAAAGAGACAGCCAGCCAGCCAGCCAGCCAGACGGGCAGACGGGCAGGGAGGTGAGTACACACTCGGACAAATACGTACATGTACATGCTTACGTCGACGTACGCGTATACGTATATACATACATACATATATACACACGTACACACGTACACACATGCACACGTGCGCACACACATGCACACGTGCACACACACATGCACACGTGCACACATACATACATACATACACATACCATACATACATACATACACATACCCACGTGTGTGGGTGCATACATACATACATACATACAAATACCCACGTGTGTGGGTGCAGAGATGTGGCTATCAATGGGTATATCCCGTCCGGCCGGCCGTCCCATGTTCCACATGGCTGCATGCGCACACACTTACCTGCCTGGCTGCCTGACTGCCTGACTGTACACAAACAAAGGCCTTTCTGTAGACAACAAGCGAGAAAGTGAGAGTTGGTTAGGTTGGGTTAGAGCGGCAGCCGGCCTGTACACGAGAGAAGAAGAAAAGAGTACCTGGAACCTAGCCCCTCCCCCTCCCGCCACAAGATGGTGCGTGAAAAGACTGCCTCTCAGTAAGAAACCGCCACTGCATGTGTGTGCCTGTGTGTCTGCCTGTCTGTTATGTGTGGCGCACAGAAACGCCTGTCATACATAAGATGGAGAGAGATACCCAGCGTGGCCCAGCAGGCATGGATGGATGGATGGATATCAAGAGAAGAGAAAGGATAGAAGGACGGAAGAAAGAAAAAGACCATATGACCACAAATGCGTACATGAAGTGAGTACGCACAGGGATTGAGCGACACATACACATAAAAACACCACCCTGTAGGCCCCCGGCACCCACAGTCCACGCGCGTCGGTCATCCATCCAGCCAGCCAGAAGGACATTCCCCCCACCCAGCCCCAAGTCCCATCATCATGACAATGTACGCAACAATCCATGTATGTATCCACATATCCGCGCATTCATAAGGAGTGAGTGAGTGAGTGAGTCAGTGAGTGAATCACTGACTTCCCCGTCTGCCGCGGCCGCCCGTGCCCCCCCTGCTGGGGCCGCCCCCACGATTGCGATTGCGATTGCCCGAATGCTGCCTCGTGCGACCATCCCCACTGCCGGCACCGAGTGACCTGACGCCATAGATGACCAGGCTGTCCCTCGTCGTATCGACGGCTTCACCCCCGCCACGCAGCTGCCGCCCTCTGCGATGCGGTCTCCTGTGCTCGCCGCCCCCGTCAAAGGTGTGCGAGGCGATTAGGGCTTGCCGGGCGTCCGTGAGGCGGTATCCCCATCTCGTGAGGTTGAGCGTGTAGCCGCCTGTCAGCTGCAGCTCGTAGCGGCCGCCCGAGTACTCGACCATGCTCTCGATGCGGAACAGCATCGAGAGGGCTGCTGCTTCTGCTGATGGTGACGTTTTCGTCCCGGTGCCCATGGTGGCCGTGGCGCGTTGGGTGTTGGTGCTGGTGTGTTGTGCCATGGGTGCGCGTGGGATAAGGATGGTCTCGAGTCTCTCGAAGGCATGGAGTGGGCGAGAGAGGAAAGCGGTGACGCTCAGGAGTGCGGGGGAGCCGGGGTGGGCTGACGAGAGGGGGGAGAGGGAGAGGGAGAGGGGCGAGGAGTGCACCAGCAAACGAGTGGCTGATACACATAGACGGACAATCAGACAAGCACACAGACAGATCCACCCACAAGCCGCCAGGCACACGCACCAGAGTCATCGGTGATTCATCACGCCTGTCTCCCCTCCCAAGCCATGTGTTCGTGAGTCCCCCTGTGCGCGTACCGATGAGGACAGCGCAGACGAGTGTGGCGGTGAGTACGATGGACAGGGCAGACAGCGCCATCACAGCAGCCTTCAAGTAGAGCGTCTCTCGCTGCAGGCGTGCAGCTGAGGCCGTGCTGGCGGGGCGGTCCACACTGGAAATGGTGTGTGTGGTCGGCAGGGACTCTGCCACATCAGGCAGTTGCTGGGACGCACGAGCCATAACAGACCTTGGCAAGGGCGGCTCGGACAGGGCCGTATCCATCATCTCGTGCGCTCTCCCGGGGAAGGAGGACGCACAGGCTCGCACTGGCAGATCTGCGAGCCGGAGATCTTCCTTCCGTACACTCTGCGGGAAGAAGAGAACACTCAGACACCGGACGGGGGCTGGACTGCCAGCTGTCATTGCAATGCATCAGGTGGGCCCCTTCCATTGAATTCATCGACTCTTTCTTCACGCCCCTCCCTTCACGACTCACATGGTCATAATCACATCCTCCACACCGACGAGTTGAAGAAGACGGTCCAGCAACCTGGCTACTTCGATGAGATCCGGCCGCTGCTATGGGTGACTCCCATCGCCCCGCAACTTGTCAAGTGGTTGGAGCACTTTGCATCGATGGCCTTCGACTACCTCATTCGCAGGGACCACGGCCCCAGCACCGAAGAGAGCTCCGATTCGGGCCTGGTGGCCGCCTTCCACGGCTGCATCGACTGGCATTCAGCCGTGCATGCACACTGGGCTGTCCTGCGAGTCGCCAGGGCCCTTCGGCAGTCTGACGCTCTCTCTGATGACATACGCAGGATGGCGACAATGCTCGAGCGCACACTGACATCGGAGAGGGTGGACAAGGACACGCTCGAGGGCCTCAGGCGCTATCGGAGCTTCGAGCTGCCTTATGGGCGAGCGTGGCTGTTGCTGCTGGTGCGAGAGACCGCTGTTTGGCATCACGAGGAGCATGGTGGGCCTGATGAGTCGCTTGTGTGGCTGTTTAAGCTGGGTGACGAGGTCTCTGACGAGCTGCGGCAGCACTACAGCAGCCCGGCACACAGCGAGGCATCGGAGCTGTCGTTCTTGCAAGTTGGAGCAGCGGCAAGGCGGCTGCACGCCAAGGAAAACGACGCCAATCTATCGACGCCAAGGAGACACCATCCTGTTGAAGCGTCAGACATCGATGCTGGGCGTGTGCTCGACGTCATTCGAAGGTATCGTGTGTCTCACTCGCCGACGCAAGACTCTCCCGCATATCACAACGATGCCTGGGCACTCCTCCAGCTGCTCGAGTATGCCCGCTTTCGACAGCAGCCGCCGCATGACATCCTCGCTCTCATGGAAAAGCGCTTCCCCTCCCCGCCCACCTACGTCGCCTCGGCCGAGCACGAGGCATCCGGCTTCTTCTCGCCCTTCTGGTCGCAGTGCTACCTGTGGGCCCATGCGCTCGACATATCTGCACCGGTGTTTCGCCAGGCCCTCGATCAGATAAGCGATGCGACACTGGAGGTGCCACGCGTCAACCAGACGGGGGCCAACGGACACAATCTTGGCAGGGTGTGGAGCCGCGCATGGGCCATGGTCAAGACAGCTACCGCGGCGGCGCACATCGGCGAGACAGCACGTAAAGTGGGCGCCAGGACGCGTGAAGCGGCCGCGTCTCACGTGATTGTTGGGCTGAAGCAGCGGTTCATGGTGGCCGGGGGTGGTGGGGACGAAGCGTACATGCAGTACGGCCACTGGGTGCCCCAATTCAGTGTGCTTGCTCTGACGGAGGGCCTGAGAGACACCTCGTCCTGACTCTGTGTGTGGCAGTTCCGTGATACGAAGATGGGAAATGCTGGGAATGCCTTTGAGCGATGTGTGCTGTTCGTGGGGCGGGAAGCGATTTCAGATAAGGGCTGTCTGGCATCCATCAGATGAACACCGGTGAGTCAGTCAATCGGTTTGCATTCAGGTAAGTCAGTCATTCGATGAGGCACGGGGTCGGTCGGTGAGACGAAC